AGGACAAGGGCACTAGGTTTCGATCCTAATACATGAACTGGCTTTGTGGGAGCCTAGCCTATTTGGATGCTCACCTTCCTGGTCCTGGATAGAAGTGGGAGAACCTTGGACTTCCTGCAGGGCAGGGAATCTGGACTGCTCTTCATTCTCAAGAGGGAGGGGGAATGGAGTTGGGAGGAGGGGTGGAGGGGTATGGGAGTGGAGGAAGGGAGCGATGTGTGCGAGGAGGGGGAGGGAAATGGGAAACGGGGAGGAGGCGGAATTTTTTTTTTTGCAACAACTAAAAAAAATAAAATAAACAAAACAAAAAAGAAAAAATAAAAAATAAATTCTTTAAACACAAAGTACCTATATGTTTATACACATGTACTTTTAGAACAAAATATTCATTTGGAAGTAAAAGATAAAAATTCAAGTGGTAGGAAAAAAGCTAATGATTGCCATTTCTGAAAGATTATTGTTAGCTGTGCTATGGTTTTAATGGTACGAATGTTACAGATTTGATCACTTTTACAAAAGCTGGAACCCGCAACCTAGTATTTCTTATTTTTCATAAGAACTAATTAGTGGATTTTATCAACTGTATCATATATGTCATATAATTACAGAACTGCACATACAATTCTGTAATAAGATGTAACATTCAAATTTCCCTAAAATATACAAAGCCTCCCCCACAACAAATGGCTCAGACTATGTGAAAACATGTCTACTACTCAGTGGTTCCTCATGCCAGCAATTAAGACTTCATCATCATTCCAAAAGCTTTGAATTCTATTTGTTTGTTTATATAGGGGCAAACGATAGACATCCTCTGAGATCGCCTCAAAAGTTATGAAGAATGCTAGTTAAGCAAGCAATAATGAAAGTCTCAGTAATAATGAGTTTCTGAAGAATGGTTTCAGGCAAGGGTGGTTAATAACTCTCAGGGAATTCCTCAGAGGCAGTGTTACCCTTGGCCCAGGCTGAAAATCACAGGCAGGAATGGCAAATCACATTCGACCATTATGAAAATCCAAGCTTATTCTCACAGACAACAGACACACCCATCTTGAAAGAAGCATAGAGTTAGGAGCTTCAGCTCTGTTCTACTGGTTCACATAGAAGGCTCACGCACACTTCACATGAGTACAGAACAGGCCTTCATTAATTACAAATCTTCATGAACATCTGCACATTAGGAAGAAGAGAGAGCCTGCTTTTTTCCTTGGCTTCTCATTTAACAATTAATTACTTATTTTTAAAGAATCTTTATACCAGACCAAAGGCAGTAAAGCTTGTTTAACAACATTAAATGATGTCTGTTACCTGAAGCCTAGACAACCACCTTAGGCTAGCGAACTCATGGATCTTGGAAGAGAACCTACAATACTACAGTACTAAATCTGCATAATTTATAACCACATTCTATATACATATCCCTATATCCACAGATGAGTTTGGTTCACTTGCCTCATAAAGAAAATTTCTCTTTGAAACAGATGGAGACCATCATACAGAAAACACAAACAATAAAAAAGAAGAGAAAAAGAGATCATGTGGTACCCAGTAGCAACTGATATATCTTCAATACAATTCTTGCACTTAATGTTCAATCATTATGGAAGAGGAAGGCAAAAAGATTGTAAGAGCCAGAGGGACAGGAAGTTTGCTGTGAGACTATGTGAGGCTGTACCTATGAAGTCTAATCAACACTGCTGCCAATAAGACCTGAATAACAATGACACCAACAGATGGAAACTAACAGTAACAGGAGAAAGCTCATGGAGTTCCCAATCATAAACATGCTTGGGAATGCTGAGTAAGAAATGGTCTTTCCCCGGGAAGAGTGAAGAGCCCCCCAATTAGCTATCCAATACCAAGCGGTCAGACCTAAGATCATATACACACAGGTGAGATTATATTACTGATTATTGTGTTTATGTATTTAGGAGTGTGTGTGACAGCAATTAAAGGAAGAGGCCATGAGAGAGGTCATGCATGGGAAGAGTTGGAAGGAAAAAAGAAAAGAGGCAAGTAATGTAATTATAATTTCCAAAACTTACTATGAATAAAAAAGTGTTAACGGTCTATAGCTTTTTAAACTTTTCAACCTAATAGGTTCAAATATGACTCCTATTTCTTAGATTGTAAAAATACAAATCACATCACTAGCCAGGCAGCAACTGGGAAGCAAAAAAAAAAAAAAAAAAAAAAAAAGGAGGAGGAGGAGGAGGAGGTGGAGGAGGAGGAGAAGGAGGAGGAGGAAGAGAAGCATGATTACTTGAGTTTGCATCCCCAGTGTCCATGTAAAAGGTTGAGCATAGCCATGTGTGCCTGAGATCCCAGGACTGGGGGGTGGAGATCAGAAGGGTCTGAAGACTTTACAGGAAAGCGGGTCTAGCCAAATTGGGTTACCATTCCTCAGCATGACTAAAAAGCAAGATGAGGAGGAAAGGGTTTATTTGGCTTACATTTAGGTATCACTGCTCAACACTGAAGATGTCAAAACAGAAACTTAAACAGGGCAGGAATCTTAAGGCAGGAGCTGATGCAGAAGCCATGGAGGAACACTAATTTGGAGCTTGTTCAGCCTACTCTCTAATAGACCTTAGGACCACTAGTTCATGGATGGGACCACCCATATGGGTTGGGACCTCCCAATAAATCACCAATCAAGAAAATGTTCTACAGGCTTATCTACAGCTTGATTTTATGAAAGAATTATCTCAACTGAGGATCCCTCCTCTCTAATGACTTAGTCTGTGCCAAGTTGGCATAAAACTTGTCAATACAATGAGAGACGCTGTTCAAAAATAAGGTGGAGAGCAATAGATAGGTTCCTAATGTCAATTTCTGACCTCTGCACATAACAAAGGGGAGTGCTAACCTGAATTTATACATATACAGCCCTCCCCAACGATCACACAAAGCTTCTTACATCTCCACACTTAGTAACCTGAACTGAGAAATTGTACATTTAAAACTTGTATAGAAAGCTACAGAGATTGTGGAATAAAATGGTAAAAGTACAAAGATGCATCAACTTCTGATTCATAAATTCTAATACTTAATGGGGCTGGAGAGATGGGTCAGTGGTTAAGAGCAGTAACTGTTCTTCTAGAGGACCTAGGTTCAAATCCCAGCACTAACACGGCAAAAAACAACTGTTTGAAACACCAGTTCCAGGAGATTCAACGCTCTCACAAAGACATATACACAGGCGAAACAACAATGAACAGAAAAAAAAATAACAAATTGTTTAAAAAGAATACTAAAAAAGTCTAGAAATATAGTTGGATTGTAGTCTCATTTATGGTGCCTTTCACTGTTATGCAGACACCACTAAGAGAAAGAAAGAACAAAGAAAAAAGAGAGGAAAGAGAGAGAAATAAAGTTGACTATCATAGGGAAAATAGGTAATATATTAGCCTAAATGCAGAACACACTTGATGGTAGGGGTTGAAAAGAATGATACACTTCTATTTGGATCTACCCATCTTTTTCAGATACAATAAAATGAAAACCATTAAAAATTATTTACAAAAAATTTTCAAATTACTGTGTCATAATATGCTAAAATATATTAAAATAATGACCTATATTGATGATTCTCCATATAGAGCTGCATAGAAAAAGAGAATGAGGAAGTCTTTAGGTATAGAATATAGATAAATGACTTTTAGGAAAGAGAGAGAAAGGGAGATATCAGATACTCTTAACAGATATGGTGTTTATTTGGGGAATGACAAAAATGATCTTGCAGTCCTCCTGGCTACCATAAAGTTATTCTAAAGAGATATACATCAGAATTTTCCCAGGAGCTGGGAGAAGGAAAAGACTAGGGCAGTGATGCAAGCCAGAGAGAAAACTTCCTGAGAGAGTGAGATCTCCCAGGAAGAAATGTCATACACTTCTAACAACTTTTCATACCACGTTACAAGAAAGAGAACCGAGTAAATGATAGGTCACTAATGGGCAAAACCATACCTTGACAGACTGCTTAGTTTAACTGTGGCTTCTCTGAACCCAAATTTCATGTCAGGACCCTGAAGATGGACTCTGGGAGGTCAATGAATTTATTCCTCCAGTGTGAATAAACTTTAAACAAAGGACACACTACTTCATTTTGCTAAATTGTATAAAACTTATGACACCAGCTACTAATCAAGGGTGACCACAAGTAGATTTTACTAACGTATATACACCTTAGACTTATGCATTCTATACAGGCTGCCATCCTTATATCTCTTTCAGGTTATGGCCCCAGATTACACTTTGTACAACGCAGGAGACCACGAGTCTGGCCACTTGGGCAGACAGGAGATTTATACAGCAAAGATATTATCATCATTTCTTAAATACACCAGTGTACTTCTCTTCAAATAGTTTCTACCATAGTTTATCTTGCCCACCTGACAAATTACACTTTTCCTGATAAAAGTACAAGGGATTTAATGGAAGACAAGAACTTAAAGATGTGTGGGATCCTGCACTGCCTCCCTGAGCTGTACTATAGAAGCATGTTGTTTAATTGGGGATGGGCCTAAAGGCTGGTTATAAGTCAGGACTGTCTCCTTTTGTTATAGGAATGCAGCCTAACCGGAGGTCAACCTGGGTGAACAACCATCAGCAAAAAATTTCTCCACAGCCTAAACTTAAATTATGATATGAAGTTTTAATTCCTACAGCTTCCACAAGCTTGGTTAGTACACCATGTATCCTTTTGTAAGTATACTGGAGACACTGCTCCCTTAGCTAAATTCAACTTAATATAACTTGATATTTTGTAAGCAAGTTTATCAGCAAAGTTTATAACAGCAATTTTATTAGTTCAAGTTTCTTCATCAGAACCTTAAAATAAAACCAAGATATAAAGTGTTTAAAACTATTATAGGCATTGTTTACCACTATCCTGCAAGTGTTCAGAACAGAATAAAATACTGACAGGATACCACTGACATAGTTTTAAAGATATTCAAGGTACTGATCAGTTACTGGAGCTTTGAAAAACATGATCCAATGTTTTTCAATGATCAGGAAAATATTAATAAAGAATATCCTACCTTTGTGATAAGAATTCGGTAACTATCCAGCATTGCCTGGTTGTCATGGCATTCTGCTAATAGCTGCCATACTTCTGCCCTTAATGCCTCAGGAACACCACTCTTTACCAAAGTGTGTAGCCCTTTCGGCCGGGTACCAAGGTTACTGTGCCTGAGGAAAGAAGAAAATAAATCTTTCACAATCCATGCCCTGAACTGCTCCTGTTATGGAAAGAATATTTATCAGTTTATTTAAAAGTACAATCCTGAATCAAAAGAAAATTGGCTGGGAGCACTAAACAAAAATAGTGCTTAAACCTCAATGAAATCATTATTTATTCCATCCTATATTTTGAAAAGCCATATTATACCATCTTTAGGCAAAGGTTTTTTTTCCACCGTATCATTTCTATTTTTTAATGGTTCTATGGTAATTACATATTAACATATGAATTTGGTTTTTGTTTATATCTAAGACATTACTACATAAAAAAGAACCATTTAAATCCCCTGACATGGTTGTACAGTAACTTGAGTGTGTTGCCAGAGAAAGAGTTGAGATATTGAAGCCTTTCAGACCTTGACAGTATACACGTCTTTATAGGCAGACTAAGCCTGGCCAAATGCAAAATGTGGGTCCTATGTTACAGGAATGCAAAGGAAAATTCAGTTTCTTACATTCCCCACATCTCGACCCAAAGATGATGTGGGAAGCTACATGTCCTGTTCACCTAATTTCAAACACTTTGTTTCAGTTTAAACTTAAGCACAAAGGACCATCTAGATTCAAAATACCCAAGGTGAACCTTATGCTAAGAAGAGTTCCTGTCAGTTCTGGATTTGTCTTGCTGGCCTCTTTGAACTACAAGCACTCCCTAAAATGAGGACTTAACTCTTTCCTAAAAACACTAAAACCTACACAAGTATATCTTGCTAGAGGGACTTCTTATGCTATCAGTCTTATCCTTTTATCAAGGGCTGTTTAGAATCAGAGCAAAGTCAAGCTGTTGTCTAAAGTCAATGATCACATAGTAGCTATGTTATCAAACTCAACAGCCAGCTGGTCAAAAAAATGAATACAGTTCCAGTCTCATGAATCCAAGTCCATTCTTCACCACCTTCCTAACCTAAGAGGTATAGTTCGGGCTTTTTGTGCTCAGACATTTCTCATTTGCTGCTCACTATGTCAAAAAGCTCACCCTGATGCAACCACCCAATTCCAAAATTTGATAATGTATCCCAATTTGAACTAACACACCAGGCTCTAATCTCAAGTTTTAAAACTGAAAAGTCATGGAATCCATATGTCTATTTTACATAATTGGTATCCCACATACTTCTCCAAATTATGCATACTCTTCTATCACCAGCCCAGACCCAAATTTTGGCATCTTCTTCTGAAAATGTGTTCAAAAGGTTTTTCCCCCTACATATTGTCATAATCTACATACTTTGAAGGAAATCATACTGTTCCAAACTTACATAATAAGTTAAAGTAAACTTATCACATCAGGATTTTGTGTAAATCATCACATTTATGGCCAATCTGCTTTCATTCAGCTAAATGTTTTTGCTGAGAGGATTGGAACAATTAAAGAAAAGAATCTGGTAAAATTGGTGGACTCAAATAAAAATGAAGTAAAAAGAGTTAGAACATAAAAGAATTAACATTATTAAAAAGGATACTTATGCCTGCTAAGGGACAGGATTCAAAATAGTATAAAGGCATTATGTTCTATACAAACTATTTTAACCTACTTTTAAACATGAAATAAATTTGGAAGAACATATGTAATGCATATATTTATGTATGTAATATATATGTATGAAGAAACTTTTTTAATTTTTAATTTTCATATTCTTTTAAATTGACTGCAATGATGCTAAATTCTTGTGTAAATATTAATTACATAAATAATCATTTGTATAATTGTACTCACGCATATTATTTATATAATTATAAAATATATAATTAAAATTAGCTTTAATTAAAGTACCTTTATATATTTAAATAAAATTAATTTTAATTAGCTGGGGCAAACATGTTTAATGCATTCCACAAAATATGACACAAAGAAAAGTACTAATTATGCTTGAGAAGAAGAACTGAATAAACTATTTGATGCCTGGAACTTCCTAGAAGCTCTTTTCATCATTATCCAACTGAATCTAAGATTACTTCAAAATATGCCATAAGAGAACAAGGATTATTTATAAAATTATGTCTTTCATAATTCAATGTATGACACTGACTATACTTTTGTTTCAAAAAAGGTATAGCTTGAAGTTAGTTGAATTTATGGATTCTATATGTAAGAAACTAAGCTAATTAAAAGCAACAGTTTGAGTCCAAAAATGTCTAAGTACATTTCCTTGAAGCTGAAGGAAATACTGTAAATTACTAATTATATAATATATAAAGTTACAGAAGAGAGATTCAAAGTAATTAGATAAGCAAACCATGATCTCTAACAATTAAAAAAGGTACCTACAAGTAAACTCATGCTTGACTGGTTTCTCAAGAAAGCCCTCTAACGTCTCTGAGTGATGATTCAGCAGTGTGATTTTTCAGAAGTCCTGCATACTCACTATCTACTTCTTCCCCACATACATTTTCCAATTCGGTTCAGCAGAGCTGCTCTGTCCCTTCCCAACATCTTCCCATGTCACTAAGCTCAATGGGTATTTTCAAGCCCTCCAGTGTTGACTATTCATTTTCTTGACCTTTCACTGTTTCCCTAGAAATCAATGATAAAACCTCCAGTCATATCCACCAATGATTGCTTCTCTACTCTTGTCACCAGTAATCTAATTCTGTTGCTGTCTTGTTTACATGCATTATTATTCCATGTCTTTGGTGTACCTGGGGTTCAACAGCACCCTAAAATCAGTCATGTCCTCATTCTTCTCTCAAAATCTGATTGTTTTCCAAGATTACCTCAACTTCAGTGATTACCACCATAATCTATCCACACTAAAAATCCAGTTGGTACTGTTGATAACACTCCATCCCACAGCTCATCCCTAGCCCATTATCACACCTAACAAATCATATTTTCTTACCCTCTAACAAACCCATGAACTTTACTCACTATCATCACCAATTTTTCTCTACCCTACACTTCTGCAAAAGCCTCCTAATATACATTCATTCTTTACAATACTTCCAGCATTGTAGGCCAAATTAAAAAAAACAATAAGCTGAATTAAACAATCTGTTAGAACAGACTCTGTATAATGATTTACCCAGAATTTTGAAACTTGAGGTCATACATATAAATATACTCATTTATACATATGATACACATATATATTAAGGTTACTAGTCAACAGTCAAAAAACATTTCTGCTGTATTAAATAATTCAATTCAATCAACATTCTACTGCTACCTGATCCTCAGGCATTTGTTTGGTGAAGTATAATAAAAATCTTTTTTTCTCGGCCATTAAAACTCTAAGACACTCTTTATCTTACAGGCTGATATTTCTAGAAAACTGGGTCGCTTATAATATTATAAATTAACATTCTTACTTTGCTGGTTTCCACAGAACAAAACTGCAATTAAAACTATCTAAACATATACATACTTAAGTGATAATTACTTCTGGATATTTAGATAATTAGTAATGGATATACTACCACTAATTACAAATGGCTATATGTATATATATGACCATGGAAAGTTTAAATAAATTAGTTTTTTAAAAAAAAATTATCTTTTGGTTGTAAGCCTAGCCTTTAATGGCTGAGCCATCTCTGACTCCCCATGGGAGGCCTTACGCTTTCTGAGGAGTGGATGGGGCTTAGGTGGGGGAAGCTGGAGGGGAAGAAAGAGAAGAAAGGAGGAAGGGGGAAATGTGGTTGGTATGTAAGATGAAAAAAACTTTTGGATAAAACAAAAAAACTTAAAAAAACATTTTATCACTATTGTACAAGTAGGATGTGCGCAAAAGTGAAATAGAACAATTTTGTAGAGTGGGATCTTTCCTTCCTTTCCTGAACCATATGGATTCAGCAGACCAAATTCATGTCCTCAGGCTTAGACGGCAAAGCACCTTTACCTGCTGAGCCATCTCACTGACACAAAAGTAATTTATTAAACTAACCAATGCTTTCAATATTTCTAGTAAAAAAAAAAAAAAGACAACATATAGCCATTGCTTGGATGGACACTAAGAATGGCCATCAGGAACAGACAACTAACCACATGTGCTGAGTCTGCCCTATAATCAAGATAGATATCTAATACAATAACAAAGAATTAGCATATAAACCAAATATATACTATCTACACAATAATCATTTTCAAATTTTGTTTTGTTTTAGTGGCGCTGGGGATTACACATGCTAAGTAAGACTCTACAACAAAACCAAAACCCTAATCCTTATAACAAATACACACACACACACACTTAGAGTTTAGGAGAATGTTAAAACAGTAGCTTGGCACAGTTTTTAAAATTCTCATAATGGTAAAAATTAAAACTGAAATATCAAGACAAATATCAATAAGTGATTGGAATTTCTACTCCCCACACAAGCAGGTCCTAAATATGCAGAAGCTGCATACACAATATAGGAAACAGGCACAGTGTTGGCCTAATACACAAAAACTTCAAGACAGAGCTCAAAAGAGAAAAGAAAGAAAAGAGGGAGGAGAGAGAGAAGAACAAAGAAGGGGTAAGAGAAACAGGAGGAAAAAGAGGAGGAAAGAAATCAAGAAAATGGATAAATTAAAGTCATTAATAAGATGAAAAATATATATTTCTATTAGATTTTTTGTGGTTTTGCTGAAATTTTGCTGCAACAATTTCAAAAAAGGAACACACTAATGTGAAAACTAAGAAAGCTATGTATGTTTACACTTAATGATTTTTAATCTTCCAAGTTTCCACTCAACTTATATTTCATATTCCTGACAATGTGTAAGACCTCAGTTAGATTAAGAACACATACCAATTATGATGATATACATTAGAATCTAGAACTTAGAAAGCTGGAGCAGGAGAAACAAAAGCTCAAGGATAGCCTGGTCTACCCTAAGACCTAGACTCTAAAAATAAAATGGGAAGGAGAAAAAGTGGTTTTCCAAAACCATAAACTATATAACTCTATGCAAAACATTATTTATCTTAGTAAATTTTTAAAAAATCATGTGAACCTATTAATCCCAAAACTTTAAACATTTCTAAACCTAGCCGGGTGGTGGTGGTGCATGCCTTTAATCCCAGTACTCTGGAAGCAGAGGCAAGAGGATCTCTGAGTTCAAGGCCAGCCTGGTCTACAAGAGCTAGTTCCAGTACAGGCACGAAAGCTACAGAGAAACCTTGTCTCAGAAAAAAAAAAAAATAAAGAATATTAAACAAGGAAATTCTGAGTATGATTATCTTTAGATTGCCAATCTTCTATAACAGTTACAATTTCCTAGGAAAAATCTATGCTTTTTATGTCTCTGCTAAGACAGAGGTTCAATAATAAATTCAAATGAAATAAAAGATATGAAATTTAAAAAAATGTAGCAAGCTTTGTAAGGGGATAAAATCAGTTAGTTGTCTTAGTTCCTCAACAGTTCTCTTGGGTTCGTCTGAGGAATTTCTTTAATTCTAAAAGATGTCATTAATAAAATATTAATATTAATGTTTATTGATATCTAAAATAATATTAATTAAATATAAGTCATACATATATTGTTTTACTTTTTAAAAAATATATGTATATTGAATTTTAGCTGAGAAATTTTCTCAATTCTATCTCAGAAGTCTAGTTTAAAAATTGTTCTCCATATACGAGGTTCATCGGTTGGTAAGGACCTGATCAATGCATACAATCAAGCGACACCTTTATTTTGTCCCTACACCCAAGTTACTGTACCAAAAACAATAAAAGCATCACCATTTATAGTGATACCTACCAGTAGCTCAGCACTTGGAGCACTAAAACTGGCATACAAACATAAACACTGTCTCAACTTTTTAAAATTGTTTTTTAAATGAAGGTAATACTCAAGAGTAGAATGTTTGCCTGGATTTGACCATCACTGCCAAAAAAATTATATGCAAAAGTAAATATTTAAAATACCAATAAGAAAATCTGAAAAGAATGTGTAGGTGTTTTCTTGATTTCCGTGACTACTAAAGCTGGATGGGTGGAAATATGATTACTTATTGTCATTTTTCTATTTTGTATATATTCAAACTTTCCACCAGGTCTATAATATTTGCAATAAGCATTTATATAATATAATACGATTATCGTTTTAAATGTATGTTTGCCTTTATAACATGATAAAGTATAAACTAGCTCACATGCCATCTCTAAATCATCAGTGTCCATGGAGTCCTAACAAATATCATTAAACAAAAAAGACACTGAGTAAGTGAGTCAGTGGTTAATAGTTTTAAATTAAATGGTTTTTAATTGGTTAAATGGTTAAGTTAATTGGTTTAATGTTATAAAACTAAAATAAGAGCCAAAAGAAAAACAAAAAACACAGATATATAAATTGTTCATGGAGTTGAATCAATGTAAACTTGCAAGAGAAATAACTTATGCATGGGTACTTTCAATCACTATTCAATAAATAGATTTTATTATTCCTCTGATGGCTAAGTTGAGTATCTTTTAAAACTCAGCTATTCATCTGTAAATATTTAGAAATTTTGCCTCTATTTCTTATTTCTTCATTCTGTGCCAGGAAGTCATATGTCTACCTTTACATTGCAAGTGCTGACAATTAATTCAGCAAACCTTGAAATCAGATACTGTGTCATCCTACTTTACTCTTTATTTGTAAAATTGTTTTGGATGTTATAATCAATGTGTATTTCATATAAATTTTAGGATCAGCTTAGTAGCTATAAAATACTGAAGCTTTCCTGAAAAGATAGGTTACCTAGGAAACAACTTCATTCTCACTAATATTGATCCTTTCATTCCATGGGCTCTTTGAGTGCTTCAAAGCAGAGACAGCAGTTGGCTAGATTTCAATATAAGTGTTTCATGGCTTTTTGTTTTATATTTTTTGTATGTTTTATGTCTTCCATCTCTGACTTTTCATTGCTAGTATATTAAGTAGAATTAGTGTTCACTTTATATTCTGTAAGATTGTAAAATGAATCCAGGAGTAGTAGAACATGGATGGCATTAGTCCCATTACTCAGGAAGCAGAGGCAGGCAGAAATCTTTAAGTTCTAGGCCATCCTTGTCTACAAGCCAAAGCTATATGGTGAGGTTCTATCTTAAAAAAAGAAAAAAAAGTATATAAAGCAAAAGTTAGGTTTTGTTTATCTGCTTGTTTTATACAAACCTTTTGATTTTTTAAAAATGAAAATTATGTCTCTGAAAATTAGATACCATTTTATATCTTCCTTTCAAACTTCTTTGCCTTTTCCTTCTGTAGGAAAATTACATGAGAAAAAATGAGAATAACTAACCAATAACTGATTTGACTTAAGGCCCATTCCATAAGATGTAACCCATACCTGATGCTGCTTGGATGACCAAGGATCTGAGACTAGCTCAGGGACCCAGGGTAAAATTAAATAGTACTGGAGTGAAAAATAGAGGAAGGAAGGAAGGAAGGAAGGAAGGAAGGAAGGAAGGAAGGAAGGAAGGAAGGAAGGAAGGAAGGAAGGAGGGAGGGAATTCCAGTTGGTTGGTTGTGACAAAATCACTCCTAATGGCATACTCATAGATTAGTGCTTTGCTCAGCCATCACCAGAAAATCTTCCTCTACAGCAGATGGGAAAAAAATATATAGACCCGCAACAAGACATTACATAGAGTGAGAAACCTTAGAACACAAAGCCTTTCTTAAGCTTTCTTTGAGAAAAAAAAATTAAGCAGTGTTGGGCATATAGCTTAGTTGGGAGAATGGCTGATTAGACTAAGTCCCACACTGCATGAACTACACCGGCTGGTACACCAGTGATGCTAAACAGAGGAAGAGGAATGAGAAGTTCATGTTATCCTTGGCAACATTTAAGATCAGCTTATGAAAAACCTTCTCAAAAAAAAAAAAAAAAAAAAAAACAAAGAAAATGAAAGAAAATTATATTAATAAAAAAAAGTAATTGGATGATACAAAACCATTCGGGTTATTTCATTTCAAGTGAACTTTGGCACTTTAGATTTTACCCAGAAATGGTTCATTTCACCTGGATTTCAAAGTTTGGGTGGGAAAAATAACTTCTGAAAGGAACTAAATAGAGCCCATACTGGGAGAAGATCTAGAAGGCCAACACATGAAGGGCATCAATAAGCCACATTTTGATTTTTATGTTATTAAATATATTAAGGGTCTATGTAATCAGCTAGTAAAGGCCCTTGCTGTGCAATCCTGAAGACCTGAATTTGGTACCTAAAACACATACAAAGATGGAAAGAAAGAATTGGATCCACAAAGTTGTCCTCTGAGCACCATACACATATACACATACACCCTCACACACACTATCATACTATAAACATATTAAATAATTTAAGATATACTAAGATATTAATATAGCTTTTAATATTACAGTTTGAAATTTTATTTACTGACAAATTTTTAATTAGTATAAAAATTAACACAAAATATGTAATTATAAATTTTGAATAAAAAAAATAAATACTTACCATCTTCCTAACAATTCTCCCCAAGAATAGAGGATCTTCTCAGGACAGTCTTTTGACACATCACCTGTTCCACTTGAGAGTTCATTATCACTCTCTATAGGAAAAAAAATACACATTATATAAATATAAGAACTTCCAAATCATAAACCATAAGACATGGCTATGCATTTACAAAAGGGAACACTAAATGCCCAAATAAATTTCAAATAGTTTTATGAAAATTCTCATCTGCAGATAAAACTCTAAAGACAGTTATATTAAATAGATTTATCCAAAGACAATAGTTTAAAGCAAGTTGTTATATTAGAAGATGGCAGAGTGAGAGGTGTTGGGTATCATTCCTTCCCTCAAATAGTTCATCTACCATATTAATTTGAGAAAATGCTTGAGATGCCCAAATAGCAAAGAGAACTAAACAAAACCAGAATGACAGGGTATGAGGGCAGTCTCATTCCAAAAGCACTCCCTTCTCCCTTTTCCCCATGGCACACAGGGTTGGAGAGGGTCCTGGTCCCCACAATTTCTGGGGGGGGGGGGAAGAAAGAAGGAAGGAAGCCAATTTCACAAGATGCTCAGAGGCTCTCTGACTAGAGCTGAATAGAATGGCATGGCATGGCCACCTGATACATACAAAGAAAAGAAGACACAGTACCTAGATCGTGATGATACTCTTATTGTTCCTGCCATCTGTGACACTTGTCAGAGACAACAGCCAACACTGGCCCCATAAATATGTTAAGTATACATTAACACAAAATAAACACTTGAAAAAGCTAAAGATTTTGTAACAGGAAGAAATTTACACCTGGTGAAAACTGCTGAGAATAAGTGACTGTTCAGTGCTCAGCCCCAGAAGATTTCACAGACACCATAATCTGGGCTCAGGAAACATGGATGAAGAAAAGGGGGAAGAAAGAATGTTAAGAGCTGCCAGAGGTGAAAGAATGCTGAGAGCAGCTGTTTTCTGGAAGAGATGAGGCTGATGTGCAAGTGATTTCATAGCAGCTGTAGCTACCTACAGAGGCCTGAAGAACACCAAACCATCAACATTTTACCATGGATGGAATGAGGTACATGAGATAGAGAAAGGGAATATTATGGACATGATTTATCTAAATTATAAAAGGGATTTGGCAAAGAACTAAGGAAGGCTAGCAAAGCACTGTCCTAATAATACAAAATAGTTTTCAAAATTGTCTATCTGACCACAAGTACCAAGATTTATCAATGCTGCTAAAAAATTGGTAAGCAGCTCCCACAAAAGGATCTATGTTAAAAATCTAAAGATACTACAAAAGACAATAAGCCAGCAAAAAATAATTCACAGATGGGATATACAAAACATTCATTTAATTAATAAAGGTACATTTGGGAAGGCTAAAAGACTTGGTCATAGCCACTCACAAATTCAGAAAAATCAAAACATATTACATACAGAGAAAAATGCTTAACTATTTTAGAGTACTAACAGATAAGAACTGGGATATTCTATTTAAAATCTGAGCACAGCTCTGTGTAATGGAGTGAAGACACAAGTATGACCCACTCTGTAAAGAGCTCACAAACACAACTTAGAAGTTAATAACAAAATCATCACAACAAATAGAAATGAGGTTTTATTCTAAAGCTAAAGCAAATAAAGTTTCACTGATATCAGAGGAACAGTGAGTGCTAGCACAAACCACTGAAGATTCAGTACTACAGTATCCTAAAGAACCAACCACATAAACAAGTATCCCATATAATCCTACATTACCACAGAAAATTAGGCACTTTTGAGAAAAGAGACTATTAAAAGTTACAGTGAAAAACAGACTATACGTAGATTATATCAGATAATCAAATAAAAGTTGTCCTACTTAACAGATTTGTAGTAAGTCTAAGTACTCATAATCTGGTATTCAATTAGGAAGTATATAAGACAACACCATCTTATTCTGACCCACAGAAAATAAGAGGATGTGAAGATTCCAAAGTAATTGATGACACTGTACACGCTAAATTCAGAAGATAAAAAGGGAGAAAAAACAAACATTCACGGACATCTTACACTCTGAGTATAATAAAAATCAAAAGTACTGTGATAAAAAAAATACTTGGATTCTTATTAGTCTTGGTGATAAAGGATTGTCTAAGCATGAAACAAAATAAGATGCAACAAAAATAAGGAATATATCTACCTATAAGTGCAAAACTTCAATTATTTAATGCATAAAAGTTTCCAACATATTGGGATTATTTTCTTCTAAATACTACAATTTTACTAATAAATAAAGTATAAACCTCTAGAAATTGAGCCAAGACAAGAACATAGTACAATACATAATACATAAAATATAAGTAAAAAATAAGTAAAATATAATTTCACTCAATGAAAATAGTAAATAAAACTCCACTTTAATTTTAAATGCAAAATAAAACAAACATATTGACTAGTTAAATTGGGAGAATACAGACAAAAGTATAGAGGAATCAAAAAGAAGGTAAATGGAAATGGGAGGTGGCTCAGTGATAGACCATTTGCCAAACAAGTCTGAAGCCCTGTGTTTAGTCTCCAGCCCTATGAAAACTAGTGGGGAGTGGAGGGAAAGAGAGGAGAGCACAGAGAGAAGAAAGGGGAGAGGAGAAGAAGGGGAAAGAATGGGAAGAGAGAAGAAGGGAAAAAGGAAAAGTGAGGAATGGGGGAAAGGAGGGAAAGAGGCTCATATTTAAGCAATAACATTCCTTTATGGGTGAATGCATATAGTCATGACTGCTCCAAGTGATGACGACAATGAATGTTCAGCACTAAACAAGACATCTATAGCACCCCCTCTAAGGCTCAGGGGACATTACAGAATAGGGACAGAAAAGAATGTAAATGTAAGAAGTCAGGGAGAAGGAACAGGAAATCCTACTTCCTGGGTATGATACAGCTATCACAACCACGAACTCACAGCAGCTTGCAATTGCCTGCACTTGGCTCGCACACAAATGAGCCTGTCAACAGCCAGGCATGGATGAAGGAGCTCAAGGGTCTCTACCCCTTCCAGCTGAACTTCTGGCTACAGATATATTCTGGGATAGAGAAGTGGTTGCCTTCAGTTGTATATCCACTACTGAACCCATCAGGATCACATGAGTACTACGCCCTTAACTACACAGCCCAAGTTAAACCCACTGGATCTAAAAGCAAAACAAAAGACATGGATTGAAATGGGATTCTCCTCTGTATGTGGTGAATACCACTAATTAATAAAGAACCTGTTTCGGCCAGTGGCTAAGCAGAACAGAGGTAGGCATGGAAAACTAAACTGAATGCTGGAGAGAGAAGGCAGAGTCAGAAGAGAAGCCATGGAGCGGCTGCAGGAGAAAGACACGCTGAAACTTTGCTGGTAGGCCACAGCCTGATGGTGATGCACAGATTAATGAAGATAAGTTAAATTAAAATGCAAGAGTTAACTAATAAGAAGCTAAGGTTAATGGGCCAAGCAGTGATTTAATTAATACAGTTTCTATGTGGTTATTTCTGGACTCTGGGCAGCCAAGAAAGGAAAAAATGAAGGGCGGTTGGAAACACACTAGCAGCCTCCTACTACAATGGATGTGAGGAATGAACTTGTAAGGGGGCAAGGTGTTGCTAGAAATACAAAGAAAATCTAGAAAAGCTGGACAGTGATGATACACATTTTTAATGCCAGCACACAGAAGGCAGAGGCAAGAAGATGGCTGAATTTTGAGGTCAGTCTGGTGTTCAGTGCAAGCTCCAGGACAGTCAAGGTTTCAGACAAACACTGTCTTAGAAGAAAAGAAAAAAGGAAAAAGAAGACCTAAAAAAAATGGAGGAAAGTAAGCACAATGAATTATATACTGGTAAGAAATTGTAAAAGAATAAATTTAATTAATAAAAATTAAATAAAAAGCATGTGTTTATTTAAATCCATATTATATTTGATTCCACTTCGAGAATCATACCTTCCAGAAATACACACACACACAGACCAGAAAGATCCATGTAGGAACCAGTGCGCAACTGGAGCTGCCATCTTTACCTTCGGTTCCTGGTCAGAAGTTCGGATATCTGTGGAGATGTCTACGTCTATGCACTCAGCTGGCTGCTGGTGCTTGGAGTCCCAGGTCAAGGTCATAGATGATGTCTGGGGTCCTGGAAGGCTTTCCTTCATGCCTGCAGCCCTCACTCAGGGTTTCTAGTGGGATGGAAACTCTCTGACAACACAGATGCTCTGTCCTGTGTCCATCCAGGACAAGCTCAGTGCACCACCAGCATGATCTCCAGGAAGTATGGCCAATGTGCTTGTGATGGACACAGGACACCGGCCTAGACATTGGCCTGCTCATCTTCAGTGATTATTTTGATTAACACTTTTTTTCTTTCTATGATTAACATGCATGTAGTATGTAAATAATGGGCTTGGATCGAAAAATCCCCAAAGTTATTCCATTCTGTGATTTATTCCCAAAACTCACTCATGGAGCAATAAAGCTTTTTACTCATAATAAAAAAAATAATTTTTATTGTGACAATGCTTGTAATAATAAGAAATTGAAAACTAATGATAATCTATTAACACAAGTACTATTAGATAAACTACATAGCATATTTGTTCAAATTAAATGGAGAGAAACCCAAAGCGATTCCACTAAAATCAGGAACAAGACAAAGCTGTCCACTCTCTCGATATCTCTTCAACATAGTACTTGAAGTTCTAGCTAGAGCAATAAGACAACAAAAGGAGATCAAGGGGATTCAAATTGGAAAGGAAGAAGTTAAACTTTGGTTATTTGCAGATGATATGATAGTGTACATAAGTGACCCAAAAAAACTCTGCCAGAGAACTCCTACAGGAGATAAATACCTTTAGTGATGAGGATACAAGATCAACTAAAACAAAAATCAATAGACATATGATGTGGGAAGGTCATTTGTCAATCTGTTGTTTCATTGGTTAATCAATAAAGAAAACGGCTTGGTCTGATAGGTCAGAAAATTAGGTAGGTGGAGTAGACAGAACAGAATGCTGGGAGGAAGAAGGCAGTGAGGTAAGACTCCATGCCTCTCCTCTCCAAGCCAGATGCCATGCCTCTCCTCTCTGG